AAGCTGGAAACCTCCCTGGAAGCCAAGATGACCAAATTGAGGCTGTCGTACTTCGGACACGTCATGAGAAGGGAAGACTCACTGGAAAAGACAATAATGCTGAGAAAAGTGGAGGGAAGTGGGAAGAGAGGAAAGCCACATGCCAGATGGATGGACTCTATTAAAGAGGTTACGGGTATTGGGTTGCAGGATTTAAGCAGAGCAGTGGAGGACAGGGGGTCTTGGAGATGTCTCATCCATAGGGTCACCATGGGTTGAAATAGTCTTGAGGGCAGTTACCAACAAACACCAAGAGCAGAGAACCTTCTGTTGCCTGTGTTTAGGGAGAGAACCATATGTATCAGCTTCAGCACAGTGGAGTAAAAAGGATGTCAATGGTATATATAATAGCTTAAAGCAAAGCAAAGCAGCTTCATTTATATACCGCTTCATATCACGCTATGGGATGTCTAAGCGGTTTACAACTGTGAGCTGATTGCCCCCCAACAAGCTGGGTACTCATTTTAGCGACCTCGGAAGGATACAGGCCTGAGTCAAGCCTCAGCCCTGGCTGGTATTGAACTCGCAACCTTGTGGTTTATGAGTGAGTGGCTGCAGTACAGGCATTTAACCACTGCGCCACCAGCTTACCTTTTGGGGGGAAGGGATGAGTTCTGCCTCAAGCTTTTATTACTTCATTCTGTAGGCTCTTGGTGTATCTGATGTGCCCTTTGCCTATTCACACTCATGATAATAGGCCCTCCCATTATCTGGTCAACACAGAGAGGGGAAGTCTCCCCTTTCAGTGTGTTAATGAGTATTGGTTTATAGGGCCTTCACAGACTGCCAGAAATAATGCAGATTGACGTCACTTTAACTGTCCTGGCTCAGTGCTAGGGAATCATGGGAACTGTAGTTTTTTCTGAGACATTGAAGTTTCTCTGTCAGAGAGCTCTGGTGCCACAATGAACTACTGTTCTAATGATTCCTTAGTGCTGAGCCAGAACAGGACTGAGCCAGTGGCCTCAAGTTGCATTATTTCTGGCAGTCTGTAAAGGCAAATAGTTACATTTTATTAGGACCAGCAGTCATGAAGGGATCATAGGTCATGAGAGATAACTGTTTAGTGGGGTTACCATTTGGTCAACAATTTGAAATGCTGCTGAGGAAATTTGGAAAAAAACAGACAACCGGGAGACTGAAGATGAACAAAAGGTATGTTTTGGAACTGGGCGCTTTGTGCCACCTTGTGGGGAGCTCCAGACTTCCTCTACCCTTATGAACATCCAGGACTCTGAATCCCATCTGATCATGTGTTGAACAGGGAAATGTGTTTAGACATTTGCATCAGGGCTTGCTTTTAATTTGATTTTGTCTGAATATGATCCAAACTGTTCTGAAAATCCTAAGAGTGCCTGAAGGTAAGGTGCCCTTCATGAAGAGAGGTTTTTGTTTGTTTGTTTGTTTTTACTAGTGTAGATTTCTTGCTTAGAATAAAGCCTTCCTTTTTGTCTCTCTCACACATAATAATAATAATAATAATTAATAATAATAATAATAATAATAATTTGTATTTGTATTTCCCGCCTCTCCCTGCGGATTGAAGCGGGATAACAAGTAATATAAAATACAAAACATAAAATATACATAAAAAAACCCTAGCAACAATATGCACTTTGTGTGCTTGGCTTGGTCTCATTTTCTCCCACCAGAGGATCAGGAGAGAAAAATCTGCAATGTCAGAGATGGGAAATGTAATTTTACACCATAACTTCTCACAGAGTTACTAGGCAGGGTCAAAATCAATATGTGATAGCAGTGTACTCAAGATGTACATTTCTTCTTAAGGAGAGGTAGGAAGACCCAAAAGGTTATTACAACCCCCTTAAACCAGTATTTTTCTTGGAAGAAGAACTTGCATGTGGTCCAATATGAACAACCATTTTCACATGGGTCTCATATCGCATCATATTTCACTGGGGTTTCAAAGTGCTGTCCCATGCCTTTTTTCCATTGAAAGTTTAAATACTGGTTTAGAATTTCTCATGGATGGAGCTAACCTATCACCAGCCAGCCATATTTTGTTACCATCCAGCAAGATTGCTGAAATGTGCTTTACATAGAAAGACACCTGAAGACATCCTGGAAGTTTCAATTAGTTTATAATGCAGCTATTAGTCTGCTGATAAGGACCAGGGAAGAAACCCATATTACTGCCCCAAATCTGAAACAACTTTATTGTCCCTATTTTCAATTCTAGCCTGTATTCATAGCAATAGTGTCAATCTTTTAAGCTCCATGTGGCTCAGGACTCAGCAGTATGCTTGATCATCTCCTCCCAGATCACTCTGCCCATGAGCTGAGAAAATAACCTGAGGGCTCATTCCCACTAGGATATAAAGCAAATTGCTGATTAGGTTATATGACCATCTTTCCCACTTGAAACTGGTTCCTATCCTACTGTGCTCAGTTTCAAACATGATGAAGGGCCTCGGCAGATGGCTAATAGAGCCGTCTTCCGGGCCCAGAAGAGGAGGGGCAGCCGCACGAGCGGCGCCCCTTCCTCTTCCCGAGGTCACCCTCGGAGTCACCGGCCGTTCGCACGGCCAGCGCTCCGGGGATGACCTCATGCCGCAGCGACCACACACGCCGCGGCATTTGAGTCAGGGAAAGTGTGCCCACCGCTTTTAGGGCACACTTTCCCTGAAATCTAAAAGGAGCGCCAATTTGGAGCTCCTTTTAGATTTGCCGGAGGTGCGCCGTGGTGCGGAGGCTGAGCTCCGCTGGCGCTCCGACCCGCGGCGCACGGGAAGCTCCCGTCTGCTTCCCCCTGAACCGCTCTTTCCTGACACCAGTTTTGGGACAATTCTTTTGAAAAGACTCAAATCCGAACCTTGTTCAACAAGTGGAAATGATGGGTTGGATTCACATTGGGGGGCTGCATCAGCTCTTGTCGGCTTCTCTTATCCAGCCCTGGTGCTCTGGTACCATTTTGGGCTCAACCAAGATTGGCAGGTGGGGCAATCCACCCTTCCTTCCTCCTCTTGGCAAGGAGGGAGTTGAGAGTCTTTCCTTCTTGGAGAGAGAGCCAAGGCAAGCCGGGAGCCTCACCAGAGTCCTTGGAGCATGGCTTCGCATTCTCTTCCTTCCTCTGCCTTTCCCAGTTTGGCCATGGAAACCCACTGGGTGACCCTGGGCAAGTCACGTTCTCTCAGCTGGAGGGGACAATGAAGAGGAGGAGTTAGAGGAGGGCCTGGGAGCTCTCACCTTTGGGGAGTACTTTGGCTCAGCTCCCCAGTTGAGGCAGCCGTGGTGGGTTGGGGCAAGGAGGAAGAGGGAGAGATGGAGCACTGCCATGGTCACCTCTTCTGCCATGGACGGTGAGGTGAGGGGTGCACCAGAGGGCAGCCCATCTGGAGGAGGTGGAGGAAGAGCTGCTGAGGCCCAAG